TCTGGCTTGGAACCTCCCCCCAAAGCGTGTCATCAATCACATTCTCCAAAGAAGCAAATTTGTGGGTTGTAGAGATCACTCCCCTCTGGCCTCTGTGGGTAACTGCGGAGATGGCCATGACAGAGATATGGCTGGAATGTGCTTTTGTTTTGACTGACGTACTGCCTCGCTGCAGCTGAAGTTCACTTTCCCATCCCCACTGCCTATGGCAACTCGAGAGCAGACCCTGGATGCTTTGTGAGTTGACACTGAATCTGCCATGCTATGGATGGAGATGAGGTGGCAGCTTGGCTTGAATTTCCTGCAGAACATCTGGGAGAGAGCGACAACAGGAAAAAAATCATTTGTTCAGCAGAGAAGAAACATTTGTGTGTATGTGTGTGTGACCATTTGAGAAAACAGCAAGGATCTGATGCCACCAGATGGTTCTAGCCACCCTCTTCACCCTGTTGAACAACACGGATGTCTTTACTAGTGTGTGCAGCTCTTGAATAGTTCCCTGCTTAAATTCATGATTCATTTCTTTATAATCTGTGATCGCCATCACTTAAGAGGCAAGGAGATCTGAAGATGCCATCATGTTGCCAATGAAACATCAGGAGATCTGTTGTCTACAAGGTGGTCACGCAACCTTGAAGCTCAACACTGCTCAACAGGTATGGGTCATGAAAGCCTAAACCAGTGTACAGTCCATAGAATATCTGCATCCCAGACAATCCTAAAATCATGACCTTTGCTATCTGTTCATGCACCCAGCTTCATGGCCCTCCACTTCACCCCAGCCAGAGTGGACTTGGGGACGATGCAAGGCTCCCCCTAGGCCTCTCCTCTTCCTGGGCTAAGGGATTCACAGACACACAACACTTCTAACCTCTGCGTCATTCCAGGTCTTGAGCTGATCATTGACCTTGTAGCAAAACCCATTCATGGGCAGCCAATCATTGGGACAACAACAGCCTTTCACTCCTATGTGGGAAGAGAGAAAGCCCAATGAGAAGATGGCCAGGAGAAAAGGAGGAGGAGACAGCTGGGTCTGCAGAACATTCTTGACCTGTTGGGTTGCAAACATCTTTGATGGCAATAAATTGAAACTGAAAACTTCAAATAGAACAGCTGTATTTGCAGAATGTTCAACAACTGGGTAGGCTTAGCCTTGGTTTAGTTCCTTGAAGCTTCATATCTTGTGTGAATCTGTCCCCTTTCATTGATTTATCATTCAGTGAACTCTGCTAAGTCAGAGAATGGATTCTTTCAAGAACCAGGTTGTTGAGTGGGACAAAGTATAGGGATTCCGTGGGTCAGTTCTGGAGGATCTGCGGTTGCCTCTTGGATGACCCATAACTACTCAGGGGGATTCAGGGGTGATTATTTGTAGGCTGCCCCCTGCAAGGAGTGGGAGGACTCAATGTTTCATGATAAAAGCATGGATCTTTTGCTAAGCTTTCAACTATGGTATTAATTTTGCTTTGTATCCTTGCAATCAGCCCTGAATCTTGGAGCAGAGAGATAGGGTGAGATCTAAATTGTACAATAAGCCAAACAGAAATAAAAGCAATTTTGGGGGCGCAGATTCTAGGGGGTCAAATCAGGAGGAGGTTCAGAGGCAAGAGCTTTGATCTCTCTGGACACCAGAGACCCCACCAGAGACTCACCGCTTAGGGAAAGGGCCACGACCAGCAAGCTGAGGCTCACAAAGATGAATTGCCCCATGGTCTTCCTTCCTTCGCTGCAGAGAAGAACAAAGAGGGAAGAAGTGAGGGGGGGACTCCCCCAGGTGGGAGAACAGCACTCACCTGTCCCTAGGATGTCTCAGTCAACTCTGGGTCCTCATAAAACAACCCAAGACGTACATCTATTAAAACAGTAAACAGTAAACTCCTGGCATGGAAGTGAAGCTTCTGCATGCAGTCCCCTCCTGAACAGACTTAGAATAGAATTCTCTGAAGGAATTCCACAAATCCTAGAGGAGTTACCGTATTGCAACTTTGCGTGCTCATAGATGCCCAGTTGGGAGATTTGCAGCAAGAACAGGATCAGTTGTGCAAGCCCAATCCTGGATCGCAAGGCTTGCTCTCTTCACACCTACTACAACTGATCTGGGGACGGAGAGTTGATGCAACTGGAGCAGCTGCTGAGGAAAGGCAAAGAGGAAGGGATTTAGTGCTTGCTTTATCTGTGGCAAGACGGGGCATATCGTTCGAGTTTGCTCAGCTAGGTGCCCAGGGAAGGAGAGCGGGATGACCAGCAGGGCATAAAAGGAGCATCAGCCCACTTACTATTCACAGGTTCAGGGAAACGACAGTGGGGCCTTTCTCAAGTGCTCAAATAGGGAGGGGAGTATTCAGCTTATAAAGAGCTTATGAAGTTCATATGGGTCAGGGTACGCTCTTAATGGCTTCTGACCGGTTGGGACAGAAGGGACAGGTTCTGATCTGCACAGACCACAATTACGAGGACCTCAAAACAATAAGGGATCATTACCCACCGTCTCTAAGATCAGATTTGATGGACCGATTACAGATGGCTCACATATTGACCAAGCTGGATCTCAGGAATGCTTATGACCTCATTAGAGTGAAAGAAAGACATGAGTAATTTGACAGCTTTTGATATCAGGAATGGTGAGTTTGAAGATGCAATTATTCTTTTTGGATTGGCTAGTTGTAAATGTACAGCACTATTTTTCAGATTTATGAATTAATTTTTTCAGATACAATTGCCAAATTTCTGGCGATTTATCTAGATGACATCTTGATTTACTCTGAGGATGCAGAGGCTCAGGTCCAGCAGGAGGTGTTGCAAAGACTATGGAAGAAAAAAATGTTTGCCAAGCTGGAGAAGTTTGACTTCGACACCTTTGACAATTGGACCACTTGGGCTGCAGGATTTCAACTGATAGTCTCCAGATGGATTCTACCAAGGTATGACCCACACCCCTTGTTATAATACAAGAGATTTTCAGAGTTTCCCGGGCTTTGCTAATTTTTACAGGAAGTTCACTCCTAACTTTTCACTCAAGGTTAAGCCTCTCACTCAATTGTTGAAGAAGAAAACAAAGTTTGACTGGATGAAGAAGGAGCAATCTGCATTTGAAAAGGTACAACAGGTCTTTGCCACTCAGCCATTTCTCTGCCACCCAGATTCATCAAAGCGATTTATCATTCAGACTAGCAAGTCAGACATTGTATTAGGAGTGGTTTTAAAATGGGGCAGCATAGAAAAGTTCGGGACCCCCTGCCTTAAGGGATGGGGTGCAGAGCAGAGAGTTTTGGCAGAGCTTCATTGCTTCTCCAGACTCACCAGGCGCTTTGCTCACCGCAGAGCAAGGAAAGGAGCCATTTGCACTAGAATTTGCACTGGCAGAGGAAAGGATGCAAGGACTCGCAGGGCGTATCGTTCCAGTTCTTGTAACCTGGATAGCAAAAGAAAAAGGTTTGCAGTGACTCCCTCAGAGTCCCAGAAGAATATTTCAGTGGCTCCTCCCTCATCTGCAGGGGGACAGGAAGGTACCACAGGTGGAGAACTTCATGTGCAAACGTGGGCTTTGGATTTGGCAGGTTGCTGTAACCAAGATAACTTACCTAGCCAACAAACCAGGATACGGCAACCAGGCTTTGGCTGTCAAGTTCTGCTCAGCCACAAGAGGGCAGCAAAGAGCTTGAGTTTTTGGTCCATCTCTTTGGCAGGTGAAAAGCGGGTGGAGCTTTCCCTGACATGACTGTTACATTGCCCCTCCCCCCTTTTTGTACCCTGTGCTGAGGGCTTCCCTGGATAACGAGTGTGGGAACTGGCTTTCAAAGAGGCCCCTCAAGTAGACATCGTGCTCATCGTAGAAGAGCACGGGCATGCTGTGGTTGCAGCTGTGATACCCTGGGCAATTTGTATCATTGTTGGCTGGGACTGTCCTGACTCTCAGCAGGGAACTCTGCTTGTAGCATGGATGCAAGTGAGGCTGGTAGCCTCACCTGCACCGTCTCTCCTTGGCCAAAAGCTTTCATAATATAACTGTCATTTCAGCCAGTTGATACGTTCTACATGCTTAATTTAGTAATATTTTAGCAATATTTGCAAGGCTGTGGTTTGACTTTTTCCTGCCCACCTTTTCTCAATTCAACTGGTGACCTTCATTGTGTCATTTAGGATTGTTCAATGTTGGGTTGAGGTTCATCTGGAATCAACGGAAATCCCATCACTGGGATGGGGAAATGGCTGCTGAATTAGGAATGGACACTTCGATGACCATCTCAGAATTTACCCATGTAATAAGATCATGATCTTTTGGGATCAGGGACAATTAGAGAGAAGCCAAGTGTTGAGTCATGTGATCCTCACATGTTGAACCTCTCAAATCTGACTCCAGTGGGTGGGCATAGAGGGTCATCTTTGGCTCCAGAGTGGACAGTGCTACCAGGAAGCCCCCTTGGCCAGAAGAAAAAAGTGAGAGTTTCATGTGGAAAAAAAAACTTTCTTTGACTTCTTAGAGAGGCCAAAATATTTCCATTTTTCATATGGAGTCAGAAGGCTCAGAAACTACATGCTATCAATCAATCAATCAATCTGATTAATTTCCAGGGAAATTAATTTTGAATTAATAAATTAATTCAATGGAGAACGTCAACCCACCTTCCCATCTAAATCAGCTTTAGGGGGATAGATAATGGTGCTGAGGCTCGTCAGATTCTCAACCTTCCAATTAAAATGAGGCAGACATGCAAGAAAGCATCAAAGCCTCGATGGATGGTCTTTCTGAAAAAAATACCCTCTGCCCCACTTTAATGCCAAGCCTTGCCATGAAAAAGTCTTGAGTTGTCAGGAATGCAAAATAATTGAGGTCAGTCACATAAAGACAGAATTTATTTGACCAGAAAGAGCAAAATCAGATCCGAGCTACAGAAATCAAGCAAAGGGGTGGAGAAGAGAGATTTTGGCAGGGCTTCGTTGCTTTTCCAGGCTTCACCGGGTGTTTCCCTCACCCTGGAGCAGGGAAAGGGCAACTGGCACTAGTATTTGCACTCACAGATGAAAGCACGCAAGACATCACAAGGATGATCGTTCCAATACTTGAAACCTGGGCAGAAAAAGAGAAAGTAGTGAGTAGTGACTCCCTCAGAGTCCCTGAAGAGTATTTCAGTGGCTCCTCCCTCATTTGCCCGGGGGGGGGGGGCATGAAGATAGCAGAGGTGGAGAACTTCATGTGCTGAGATGGACTTACCTAGCCATCAAGTCAGGCCAAGTCAACCAGAATTTTCTGACAAGCTCTGCTCCACTACAAGAGGGCATCAAAGAGCTTTTCTGACCCATCTCTTTGGCATGTAAAAACTAGGTGGAGTATTGATTTCACAGTTAAGGCTGCTACTTTGCCTTTTTCTTTTCTTTTCTTTTTTTGCAAAATCCAAAGGGCACCCCTGGATGATGGATATGGACAGCAGTATATTGGTTTGCAAAGATGTCCCTCAATTAGACATCATAGCTTGCCCAGAAGAGCAATAGCAATAGCACTTAAGACTTAAATACTGCTTCATAATGCTTCGCAGCCCCCTCTAAGTGGTTTACAGAGTCAGCATGTTGCCCCCAACAATCTGGGCCCTCATTTTATCGACCTCAGAAGGATGGAAGGCTGGGTCAGTCTTGAACTGGTCAGAATTGAATTGCTGGCAGTGAGTAGTGAGTTAGCCTGCAATACTGCACTCTAACCACTGTGCCATCGTGACTCCTGAGCATGAGCGTGCTGTGGTTGCACTTCTAGCACGCTGGCTGAAATGTGCCAAAGCTGGCTGGGACTGTCCTGACCCTTCAGGATGGGAGTCTTCTTGTAGCATGGATGCAACAGAGGCTGGTAGCCTCACCTGCACCTTCTCTACTTCACTGGAAAGCACAGGAGGAAAGAGTTATTCAAATGTTTCTGTGGAATGTAAGACCAATAGAGATTTAGCTAGCTGAACAACCACAGGACTTGCTCAAAAAATGTCCCGATATATGGAGGGTGATGTTCCCTTGAATGAAATGGATCTAGCCTTGTTGGGCCTCCTGTTCTCCACCCCTAACCTGGACTTCACTCTTCAACTATTCAACTGAGCACATTTAGATGGATAACCACTGTGATTGGTCTACTCATCTGTCAAACCACTCCTCCTCCTCCTCCCCAACCTGGTCCCCCCCCCTTCAGGAGAGCAGCTGATGGTGATGTTTGGGGGAGAGCAAAGAAAACCAGTGCATTAATTGTTCTCTTCTCTAAACGCTCTAAGTGAGTAGGTTAAGATGAAGATGGTTGGTTTAATGATGGTGCTGTAATAATTAAGTTTGGGTTTTTGAAGAAATGGTGAGTTCCATTTTTGTTTATCCCATGGGCATTTTGTATTCCCTTGGCTGTATGGAGGGTCAGGCTGTGAGAGCTTAGAATCTAAGGAGGTCAACCAAGGTCATCCATTGGCCACTGGTGGGGGTTCCAACTTGGATGAAATAAGTCCTCATTGTTGAAAGTGCATCTTGAACACCTCCCCCATCCCCCACCTTGGCTTACCTGTCTTGGCTATGAGCTCAACACAATACTCATTCTTCTGCTGGTTGTTGGGCTCTCCTTCACCCCAGGCTAGGTAGTTGGTGGAGGATCTGTCTGTCCACACCCAGACACCTTTCTGTAACGAAAGGGAAGCCATGTTAACATAGGAAGAGGCTCTGGCTATAGAGGGCCCTGGGCAGAGAGAGAAAAGATGGCAGGTTTCAAGGGACAGGTCATATAGAACCCCCCTCCCTCTCTTTCTCCATCTAGCTAATCGATCTTAGTTGATCTGGAACAACTAAGCAGGGTTAAACTTGGCGAATGCCTCTCCTACTTCAGCTGGACAATTGCTACGCAATTCCTTGACAAATACAAAGGACCTACCTTCTGGGCATCATTCAGCCCAATCCAGACACTGTCCTTCTTTGTGAGATAGTCAGAGACATACTCAGCCAAGTCAGCTGACTCTGCCATGTTGTGGATGGAGGCGAGGTGGCAGCCTGGCTTTAATTTCCTGCAGAACATCTGGGAAGAGCAACAACAGAGAAAGGCACTTATTCAGCAGAGAAGGAACGTAACAGAATAACAGAGTTGGAAGGGACCTTGGAGGTCTTCTAGTCCAACCCCCTGCTCAGAGCAGGAGACCATTCCGGACAAATGTCCAATCTTTTCTTCAAATTCTCCACCCACAACTTCTGGAGGCAAGGAGTTCCACTGATTCATTGTTCTCATTTTCAGGAAATTTCTGCTTAGTTCTAAGTTTCTTCTCTCCGTGCTTAGTTTCCACCCATTGCTTCTTTCCTGCCTTCTGGTGCTTTGGAGAATAGCTTGACTGCCCACCTCCCCCTCTTCTATGTGGCAGCCCCTCAAATATTGGAACACTACTTATTCTTTTCATTAAACTAGACCTACCCAATTCCTGCAATTGTTCTTTATATGCTTTAGCTGCCAGTCCCCTAATCATCTTTGTTGCTCTTTTCTGTAGTCTTTCCAGAGTCGTGTGTGTGTGTGTGTGTGTGTTTGAGCAGGCATCTGATTGCATCATCCTAGCCACCCTCTTCAGTCCGTTGACCATCAAGGATGTTTTTCCTGATACGTTGTTTAAAATCTGAGATCCTCATCAGAATAAAGGAGGTCTGAAGATACCAGTCAGAGTTACCAGTGAGACATCAGGAAATCGTTTGTCTGCAAGACAGTCACTCAACCCTGAAGTTCGACATTGTCCAACAGATACTGGTCATGAAAGCCTAAACCAGTATATCATCCATAGAATACTTGCATTTCATATTATTCTAAAATCATGACCTTTGTTACCTTTTCATGCACCTATCCTAGTGGCCTTCCACTTGTGCCCAGCCAGAGTGTGTACTTGGGAGCTATGCAAGGTTCTGGCCAGGCTTTTCCCATGCCTGGGTGAGGAAATTCACAGACACACAACATTTCTAACCTCTGCTTCATTCCAGGTCTTGAGTTGATCGTTGAGCTTGTAGCAAAACCCATTCATGGGCAGCCAATTATCGGGACAGCAACAGCCTTTCACTCCTTTGGGGGAAGAGAGAAAGTCCAATGAGAAGATGGCCAGGAGAAAAGGAGAAGGTAGAGGAGACAGCTGGGTCTGCAGAACATTCTTGACCTGTTGAGTTGTAAACATCTTTGATGACAATAAACAGAAACTGATTTGGGTTACAGACGCAGTGGCTGCATTTGCAAATTTCCAAACTTGGTTGTTGATGATCAGTGGCTAAGTCATATCTGACTCTTCACAACCTGATGGACAATAGCATCTCATCCCTCCCATCATCCATTACCCGAGACTCCTGTTCATTGCATTGATGGCATTATCTAACCATCTCCTCCTCTGTTGTCCCCTTCTCTTTTTGCTTTCCAGCTTTCCCAGCATCAGGGTCTTTTCCAAATAGCCCTCGCTTCTCATTTGATGGCCAAAGTATTTGAGCTTCAGCTTCAGTATCTGTCCTTTCAAAGAAATTTAGGGTTAGTTTAGGTTAATTTTCTTCAAACTGAAAGTCTTGTGTGAATCTTTCTGCTTTGGTTGGTGTATCATTCAGTGAATTGTGTAAATGTGCTAAGCCTGAAATTGGATTCCTTCAAGAACCAGGCTGTTGACTGGGGCAAAATATGGGAATCACGTGGTTCCGTTCTGGAGGACCTGTAACTGCTCAAGAGGTTTCAGGAGAGATCATTGATGGGACCACTCCAATGCAAGGAGTGGGAAGCACTAAACTTGTAACGATAAATGCATGTATATTTTGCCAAGCTTTTCACTGTTAATTGTGTTCATGATTGTGAATTTTAATTGTACTAAAAGGATTCAAATGCAAGAACTTTAGCCTCTACGAACATGAGAGACCTTGCTTGGACTCACCACTCAGAGAGATGGCCACAATCAGCAAACCGAAACTCACAAAGGAAATTTGCCCCATGGTTTTCCTCCCTTTCCTGCAGAGAGAAAAAATAGCAATAGCACTTAGCCTTATATACCGCTTCACAGTGTTTTATAGCACTCTCTAAGCAGTTTTATGGAGTCAGCATATTGCCCCAAAACAAACTGGCTCCTCATTTTACCAACCTTGGAAGGATGGAAGGCTGAGTCAACCTTGAGCTGGTGAGATTCAATCTGCCAAATTGCTGTCAATCAGCAGTCAGCAGAAGTATCCTGCACTACTGCACTCTCACCATTGCGAAGGAGGGGGAGCTAAGCTCCTTAAAAAGCTCACTCAGGAAGGGAGACCATCCAACCCAGGATCAAGCTGAGAGTTCAACAGTTTGTCTACAGTTTTGCACTAGCCCAGCTGGACCCCCTTTCTCTCACCGTGGTCATGAAACACCCTTGGTGGGTCACACTGGATTCTGCATTGCTATGTAATCAGCAGGAAGCTCCCTTAGAAAGACTCTTCTGTGGGTCTCTCTCTCTCTCTCTCCCAAAGATCACCCAATTGATCCCTTGCTCCCTGTCTGAGGGACCATCCCACAGAGCCCCTTCTGGAATCTGCAGCAACTTTAAAGAGGTCCCTTCAGATGGAGAGAGACTCCCAGGAGTGATCTGATGCAAGGACCTCACCTGCCATGTTCCCCCAGATGGGAAAGCAGCACTCACCTGTCAACTCTGGGTCTTTGTCTGAGGTGTTGAAGCCCAACTAAACAACCCGAGGTGGAGATTGAAGCAGGATGATCTTGCTCTGCGCAGAAGGAGGACATGGGGAGGTTCCCTTCAGCCAGGTCTTTTATATCCCCAAACCGCAAAACCCACCAACGTGAACATCAGGGTATCATGTGTGGCCCCCTTTCCCCATTACTGGCTTAAACCCCCACAGCAGTTAGAAACACACACAGAGACACGTGTACATAGGTTGCTCCGAAGCTTTCATAACGTAGCTGTCATTTCAGCCGGTTGGCATGTCCTACATGCTTTGTTTAGTAATATTTGAGCAATATTTGTGAGTCTGTGGTTTTGCTCCCACCCGCGTTCATTGTGCCTAGAGCACAGTGGGAGTTACACAAAGCAAGCCATGCCTCTGGCCTCATGTTTTCATGAGGCTACTCCTCTGCTTAGCCCAACTATCTCACCCAGGCATTCCCATGCAAAGCTATTTAATTCATGTGTTTAGCAAAGCTGATTAAGGAGGAGGAGGAGAGGACAGCAGGGTTTACTTGCTGCTTTGCAAACATTGGTGATGATAATAAATTGTAACTGACTTGGGTTCTCTCTAACTGTCCCTGTTCCCAAACTGCACAGTGGCCAGTTATCTCTGTTTCAATTCTTTCACCTGCCTAATTTTGCTTTACTGGCATCCTTGCAATAATTACTTTCCCTTTTGAACTCCAAATTTTATCATTTACAGCTTCTGGCTTGTCTTTTTCCTCTTATGCTGCATCTTCCTGCAGCCAGATTGCATCTACACGTTTCATGCAGAATAGCAAATGCAATCATTTCTTTTGAGTCTGCTGAGCTGCTTCATCGCTAATTCATTTCCTGAACGTGCTTGAACGTTGACAATTGCCAACGTTTTTGTGGTTTGGATGAGATCCACACTTGCTTAATATCTGCCCCATTGCTTGTCAGGAACACCTTGTTTGTCCATTCTGACCCTAATCTTTTATCTTCCCCAGACACCTCTTGAATCTACATAAATGTTTCCTGGTTTTATCCCAATGCAAGGCTCCCAAATTTGCTCCTGCTATTGCAACTGGAGGCTGAAGGCTGCCAGCTTTGCAAAATCTGCCTTGCAAAAAGGGGCAGAATTGAGCCCCTTTTTTATACCACCCCCCCATGGCTTTGTTGCCTGTATTGTAAAAGACACACAATCCCCAAGCTCTATCCTGGGAGGCAGGAGGGATTCAGCTAGCTTTTTAAGAGAACCTTTGGAAATTGGCATACCTGGATTCCTTGCAGGTCATAAGATGCAAAAATGCACTGTAACTTCAAGCAGCATCAGAATATCCTTTGCACAGGTCATTAAATAATAGAAGAACAGAGTTGGGACCTTAGAGGTCTTCTAGTCCAATCCCTTGCTCAAGCAGGAGACCCTATAATATTGCAGTCAAATGGCTGTCCAGTCTCTTCTTAAAAACCTCCAGTGTTGGAGCACCCACCCACAGCTTCTGGAGGCAAGTTCAGAAGTGGGTTTCAGCAGGTTCTAACCAGTTCTGGAGAACTGGTACCGGAAATTTTGAGTAGTTCGGAGAACCGGTAGTAAAAATTCTGACTGGCCCCGCCCCCATCTATTCTCTGCCTCCCGAGTCCCAGCTGATTGGGAGGAAACGGGGATTTTGCAGTAACTTTCCCCTGCCACGCCCACCAAGCCATGCCCACCAAGCTATGCCACGCCCACCAAGCCACGCCCACAGAACCGGTAGTAAAATAATTTGAAACCCCCCATTGGGCGAGTTGTTCCACGGGTTAATTGTTGTCACTCTCAGGATATTTCTCTTTAGTTCTAGGTTGGATCTCTCCTAGATCAGTTCAATCCATTGCTTCTTGGCTGAGTTGAGACAGTTCAACAGACCTTGTGTGTCATAAGATGGAAAAATCCACCATAACCCTCAAGCAGCACCAGGATATTCTATGCACAGGTCAGCAATTAACTTGCCTTTGAGACTGCACATTGCTGAGTTGAGGAAACAGCCCTTCCTTTTGGTTGCAAACAAGGGTGGCTTGGACCCTGTTGGGCTAGGACCCCCCTACTCAGGGCTACCAGGAAGTTCTAACAAAATGAAAGATGAGTACCTCCATCTCAAGGTGCTTCTGTACCAGGATATGAAAACTGAAACTTTGCTTAAATATAATGCTATTTGGCATCAGGATGTGCCTGATGTTTGGCCCCTGAGTGGGGAGGGGGGGGAGATCAATAGACTTAGAAGTCTTTGAGAAAAGGGGAGGCTATGCCCAAAGGGCAGCACTGTTATGCACTGTTCTGGAGTCTGTGAAGGAATAAACAAAGGTTGAAAGACTGTGACTTGTGCCTTCAGCTCCCGCACCCTATGAGGGACTCTACCCCCTTACGGAGCAAGTTTCTACTGGAAGGGGGAGCCCAAGAAGGTCCTTGTTTATACTCCTTGTTTATGCTGACTTGGATGCTGATGATAGTGTCCACAGGTCATAAAAGGGCCATGATTCCCCACCCTTGTGCCATAGAGGGGGGCTATATGGATTTTTTTTTAATAACTTTGTCATTGTACGTGTATACACAGTATACCCATACAACGAAATTCACTTAACACCCAAAGACCAGGTCCAACAATGGTTGGACATAACAATCCCCAAACACACTCCCATCCTCCACAATTCCCCACCCCTAAACCACCCAAACATCCACACAACAGACCAAGTCATGCTGTCCAAGAGCTCACTGATGGTGGCCCTTTAGTTCATGGTTGAGTGCAATTATAGCTCTGGGATAAAAACTATTCAGAAGACGTGTGGTCCGAGTTTTAATTGTCCTGTATCTTCTGCCAGAAGGCAGCAATCCAAAAAGATTGTAAGCAGGATGGGAAGAGTCTAGGAGAATGTTATGCAACTTCCTCAAACAGCGAGATGTGAAGATGTCATCCAGGGCTGGTAGATGGAGTCCGATGATATTCTGGGCAGTTTTAATGGTTCTCTGTAGAGCTTTTTTGTCCGCTACAGAGCTGCTCCCGTACCATGCAAGAATGCCGTATGTCAGGACACTCTCAATGGTGCTGCGATAGTAGGACAGAAGTAGATGCTGAGATAGATTTATCTTCCTGAGCATTCTCAGGAAGTACAGCCTCTTCTGTGCCTTCTTCACAAGCATGTTAGCATTCATAGTCCATGAGAGGTCCTTCGAGGTATAAATGCCCAGAAGTTTAAAACTATCCACCCTCTCCACCTCCTCACCATTTATGTACAGTGGTAGATGTACATCTCTCTTCCTCCTGAAGTCAATTATAAATTCTTTAGTTTTTGTGGTGTTAAGTGTGAGATTATTTTCATTACACCACAATGTCAGCCCTTGTACTTCCTTCCTGTAAGCAGACTCATTGTTCTTATTAATGAGCCCCACCACTGTTGTGTCATGCACAAATTTAATAATTGTGTTGGTGTTATACAATGGGGTGCAGGCATGTGTGTACAAGGAATAAAGGAAAGAGCTTAGCACACAACCCTGGGGTGGGCTCCTGTGCTTAGTATCAGAGTAGAGGAATGCTGAGATCCCATCCTTACTGACTGTGGCCTACCTGTCAGAAAATCCCTTATCCACAAACAAATCCTCTGATTTATACCCTAATTGGACATTTTAAAAAACAACCTGTTGGGTAAAATGGTGTTAAAGGCAGAGCTATAATCCACAAATAACAGCCTTGCATATGCCCCCTGTAGTTCCAAGTGATTCAATGTAGTATGGACAACAAGAGACATAGCATCGTCAGTTGATCTATTACCCCTATATGCAAATTGGTATGGGTCCAAAGTAGATGGGAGACTAGCCTTAATATAGTTCAACACCAGCCTCTCAAAACATTTCATGACAACAGATGTTAAAGCTACTGGTCTATAATCATTAAGGGATACCACTACTGTCTGCTTAGGGACTGGCACTATAATAGATGTCTTCAGGCAGGTAGGGATAGAGCACTGCTACAGAATAAGAAATAATACAGAATAAGAAAGAAAAAGGAAATCAAAAGTGTTTTTTTAAAAAAAAAATGTACATAAAGGTACTGATTTCAGAATAGTTTGGGGTACAAGTAAATCTGCCATTCATTCATTCATTTATTCATTCATTCATTCATTCATTCAGTTTGTTTGTTAACCATCTCACCAACACAGGAACTTATTTTATACAATATAATAGTGAATTCAAAAGGAAGAGTCAAGAGAAAATGCAAACTATTTTGGATGAGATAAAACAGAAAAGAAGACAAAGTAAAGAAATGTCCAGAGAAGAGAAGCATTTCATATCTGCATAGCAGAATATTCCAACAGCAAAGGGTAATTTTTTTCCCATGGGCTCTTCCCAGACAGCACAAGAAATGTTTATTGTCAATAAATGAATGAAAACTATGCTATTCTCCAGCAGCTGAGAAGCTTCCTCAGGGCCCCCTTCACCTCCTTGTTGCGGAGGCTGTAGATCAAGGGGTTCAGCATAGGGGTGACAATGCAAAACATGGTGGAGATCAAAGTGTCCACCTCTAGAGAGTAGCCAGCACTGGGCTGGTTGTAGTTCACAAAAGCGTTTCCAACAAAGAGTGTTACTACAGCAAGGTGTGAAGCGCAGGTGGAGAAGGCTTTGCGCCTGCCGATCTTGGAGCGGATCTGCAGAATGGAGGACAAAATGTAGAAATAGGACAGGATGATGAGCAGAAGAGGGACAAGTCCCACCAAGGTGCCAGTGATGTGAGTGACCAACTCATTGACGGAAGTATCACTGCAGGCAATTTTCAGTAATGGGGGACCATCACAAAAGATGTGAGGAATCTGGTAATTTCCACAAAATTCCAACCTGGAAGCCAGAGCAATGTAGATAGCTGAGTCCAGGAAGCCCCAGAGCCAAATGGCCACAGACAGCTGGATGCACAACTTGCCCCTCATCAGGTGAGCATAGTGCAAAGGTTGGCAGATGGCAGCATAGCGGTCATAGGCCATGACGGCCAGCAGTGCTGGCTCACATCCTGCAAAGCCAATCAGGAAGAAGGCTTGTGCCAGGCA